CGTGATAGAAATTGCTGTCTGTTTCTATTAGCGGGTCGCAAATCGGGCAGCTGGTGTCTGGAAATTGGTTTAATTCTATCCTCTTTACAAACACCTGCTGACATTGTAAAACAATGAAGCTCTGAACAGTTATTTTGCATACGTAAAAGTTGATGTTTACAGGAGCTTTAGTTTTGGAGAATCCTGACTCTGAAAGGACTATTTTTCATATTGATTTGCACTGGTATTTCCATAGTAGGATAAATATACTTGTCCCCCATGATATGGTGCTACTGTACCTCATTATCAAAAGGATGACAAAAAGGATCGCTATTTACTATGAAAATTGGTATAAGGCTCATTCTTCTCGAGAGTTTTTCTAATATCCTCTTTACAAATACCTGCTGACATTGTAAAACAATGAAGCTCTGAACAGTTATTCTGCCTACGTAAAAGTTTGATGTTTACAGGAGCTTTAGTTTTGGAGAATCCTGATCCCGAAAGGTGCCAACACTACAATTCACCAGTATTTGACTTGCATTATCTTATCGACAATTTACCCTCCTCGTCCCTTTTTCATTAAAATAAAACAAGGAACTTGCTGAGATGAAAGAGTCAGAAAAAAGATTGTTATTAAGCATTTTCTGGTCTCTATCACGACAGTCTCATTTATCCGGGTCTGTATCATTTTGCTGACAATTAATTACCTAAAAAGGATAAAATTGAAATAATGTTGGTGAACATTTGTCAGTGAAATGATTGTTGGTGAAATGAATTGCCTCCCCATTTATCTAACTACTAGATACATCCTTATCATGGTGTTAGTGCGTAGAACAAATCAACACTGACTAATATTTGTGTACAGATGTCTGGAGTCATAATAACAATAACGAATAATAATAACAACAGACTGAGACTATTGGTGCAAAACTGGCTTGTTAACTAGTTCAGACTGATATGGTAAACGAGATTGAGTTATTCGTCTATTGATAATTGATTTTGTGTTAATGTGACATATAGTATGTATTCAAATAGATACAATCTCATCTCTGCAGATAATCTGTGCTTTCCAATTGAAGCTGAATTGTATGATACTAATACTTGATTAAGCCTGTTCTATGTTGACATTAATATGTCTTTGCCGCTGTTATCTATTACTATATAGTGATAGTTTTTGATGTTATAAAAGCACTACTACCACCACCACCACTACTACTACTACCACTACCCCACCATACTTTTCAACATTACTGTTACTATAACTATGAGTGAATTTGATGATGACACTGTGCAATATCTGGATCCAGATATTGACTTTGCACTGTTAGATGATGATAGTAGTTTGTTAACAGAAAGTGAAAAACCTCTGTCTGTTAGTGTATCATTAGATCCTACTGATGAAGAGAGTAATTATGAAGATACTTTCTATGATAACCCTGTACACATGCAAAATCCTGCATCTGAGTATATTAGGTCTATTACTATGTTAAGTCCTGTGATAGAGGAGGAGATGGAGATTGACTGGTTAACAACAGAAATAGAAACTTATGATAATATGGAACACAGTTCCATGATGAGTGAGAGTTATACACCTTCTGCAATTGATGACTTTGACATTTCTGATACTGTTACAGGTGATATAGATAAGGAGAGTCAGTGTATTATACTGGATATAATTGATGGAAAGCTTACTCATTGTGAGAAGAAAGTCGATACCAGTGCCAAGCGAACATTAAAACAAATGTTCAGAATTTGGGAGATTGATTCGGATTCTGCTAGACCGTTGTTTCAGGAAGATAAATCTAGTCAATCAAGTACTTTCAGTTTCGGAGTATGTAGTTCCCATTTTAATTTTGACAAGAAACTGTTGCATCCCCCAAAGCAAAGGCTGAAAGACAGTCGATTGAGAAAAGTTGGATACACTGACGAAAGTGTTTATTTTGCAATGATATTAAGTTCAGTGCCATTTCGTAGGATATCTCACATCAAATCCAACAACCATGATAGCAAACATCTCTACAATCCTATATATTATATCAACTTGTGAGCAACACATCTCAAATAAAATACTACAAACAGGGTCAGCAGCCTGTAAAATTGATGGTGATGGCGATTTTACCACCTTTCGATACACCTTATGGTTACCTCTAAACGATACTGAACCGGAAGATACTGAAGACACATACATTCAGAAATTTACCCAAGATTCAGTATACTTTATTACGGGAAAGTTTACTATGCTGGAAAATGGTTTGTTGGAACTCGTCGTCTCCTCCTGTAGGGAACTACCCATAAATAAAGACGAAATTCCGGTCTGTAAACCGATCGTCTTCTTGGGTTAAGGAAGCGTGCACGGCCACGGAATCTGCGTATTATCTAAAGTTAGAAATCAAGCTATATTTAACGGCAGACATGTGTGGACCGGTTAATGTAATATTAACACATGCTATAGATGGCCGTTTGAAAAATACTTTTACTGTCGCGAAAACTTCGTCCATAATCCAGTGTGCCGCAGAGTTGTTTGTTATCGAAAGTAAGTTATATTGTGACGTAATAGAAATGCAATTCGTAAACCTAAAGACGGAGTCGTCGAACAATGTACCGTGGTCGGTAACAAACAAGGACAATAAAAATAAGAAGAAAAATTCGGTGGAGAGTCGGATAGTAGCAGTACATAAATCAATGCAGCAGAAAAAACCACCCACACTGACAGCAAAAACGGAGACAACACAGAAGCCAGTAAAGGTCGACAATATTGCTCGGGAGATTATAAAACGGAAAAGAAGAAATTCAACAATCGTTGTTGATGAAGACGTTGGAGAGACGATAGTAATAGATAACGAATTAGAAGCGAAAAAAGGTGACAGATCACTAGGAAATAATTCGTGTAGTGACGAAGAGAAGCCGCGGCCAAAAAGGGGATGACCAAGAAAGAGCCAATGCGCACTTTTTACTAGCGCTAAAAAATAGAACTAAAGAAAATTTTTTTAAAATCAGTTTTTTTTTTTTTTTGAGATTTTTTTTTTATTTTAAATTCGGATTCAATTTCTCCGCATTTTTTGTTCGTTTTGTTTTTTAGTTTTCGCTCATTATTTTTATCTTTGCTTCGGGTCTTTGATTTGATAAGCAAGTAGTATTTAAGCTCGGTTAACTTCAATTTCGCTTTTGAATTTTTTAATTTAGCGCAGCAGCTAACTAAAGCCCTTTTGTTTTTTGGTAAAGTTTTTTGGTGATTAGTACTTTTCATCGAAAATTAGGTTTGCATTTTTTGACTGACTTCTGGTGAGCGATAGTTTTGTTAACGATGTTTAAACGGGTTTTTTGAGAAGAGAAATGTGAAAAAAAAGATAACGCCAAACAAAAAAAAGAATGGTAACAGAATATATTTTATAAATACAAACGTGTATGGCAAATAATATGGTTACATGCAATTTCGAACTTAAATTATTTTCGATAGTTGAGAATGATTGACAGTTTTGATAAACATTTCTTTCTTTTGTAAAGTAAAAGGGATTATGGCTATCGGAGAACTTGGCTTTTATCACAGTTTCCATGTCCACAACATTATAAACGAGGTCATCTTCTTCATGCTCAATTTCTGTATTGACCAGGGAATTAATTCTCTCTAAATCTGACACATGCGCATTTGTTTCTTCAACAGAATTTTGCTCAGTTCGTCATAGCTTTACATTTGCTGAACAGAAATTACATGTGGAAAAGGTTTGCGTCATCTGAGCTCTAGTTCTTATGAAATCAATGGTTTGTCTAGAAGTCTTGCATTTGGAGCAATATTTAGTTTCCTTGCGATAGTATTGTCATTATTACTTTGAGCAGACATAGTGTGTAATAAATTTCTGTTATGTGTATAGTAGGATAGTTAGATCTTTATTTTCAAGTTTGATTCAACAGTCGCCTTTTATAACTTAATTTGATCATACAAAAAAAAAGCGCATCTTTGTATATGCTTAATATTTCATAATCCTGCAGATACAGATGTCAAAATTGTTAATTTTTCAACAATGTCATTAATCATATGATTGATAACTTGTATAACAAAATATTAAAATTGTTAAATTTTCAACAGTGGCATCAATCATGCTCTGTAATCTTGCAGATACAGATGTCAAAATTGTTAATTTTTCAACAATGTCATTAATCATATGATCAATAATTTGATGTCAAAATCAACAATGTCATCAATTATATGATCGATACTTTGAAGTCTCAGCAGATATGAGGATATCAAAATTGTTATCTTTGACAATACGATCTATTTCAAATACAGGATATCAAAATTGTTAAATTTCCACAATTTAATTTAACCTAATATCTTCTGTCATTATAGCAATTTTACAAATTGATCATCAATGTTACAGCACTTAAGTGTTACAGTTATGTTTATTCAGTAATTATAATGACATGATAATTGTATGACCAATAACATATTGAATTTCGATATGCTGTGACTGCAATTGTTGAAATATCAATAATATTGATCATATGATTAATGACATTGTTGAAAAATTAACAGTTTTGGCATCCCATATATGAAATATTGATCATATGATTAATGACATTGTTGAAAAATTAACAATTTTGATATCTATCCCTAGAAAGGTCTTACTGCAACGAAAATAAACAAAGTCTTTTGTGGTATATGCATATAAAAGTAACATATAATTTGTATTATAAAACGAATATAAAAAGCTTTTTGTAATTTGTATGTATAAACATTTGCCTTATATGTAATAGACCAAAATTTGTTATTGTGGTACAATTACTTCACTCGACCGCTGAGCGGATCTCTCCCAAACTGGTATTATCAGCATCAATAGTCACATGCCCGCACATTTTTTTTTGCCATGACTTTGTCACTTTTTTATCTAGGATGTATTTCAGTCCTGGTGTGCATGACCACAACAAGCATGAACTCTGCCATGGAGATGTGTGGAAGGCATCACCTTTGTTTGGAGAGGAAGCCATTAGTATCAGTGGAGGTCCATAGTTAATTTAATATCATTCAACTGTATTCTTTAGACTGATTATTGATTACCTTTCATTTCTTTACTAGCCATATATCATGCAGGAGAATTTATACATTGTTACTATAGAGACAATACACATGTCAGGCATATTTTCACTATTGTCAAAGAAGGTGAACAGTGGTGTCTGGAAGTCAATATGATGTTGAGATTTGAAGATCTTCCTAGGACTCTACAATCAAACGACAGACAGTTATCAGCAGCTTGTGGTGAAATATGGCTTAATGATGATTGACCCTGCCTGGTAAAGCTTGAGGATGTCTTAGGAACCACCACAGTCTGGCTCAAAGACCTACCAGAGCCACCATCCTACAGATACAGTATCAGTGAAATAATATATTCCTGGAACTCGCGTTGGCAAATCTGACCTGTTTCACATCAGCATCAGCATCCAAGTGAATACATAAAACACTCACCTCAACCTGATACTATTCCTGTGAAAAAAGTCTTTATTGACTTGTATCATGATGATTTTGGCACCTTTCGAAGTGTTTACCATAGTCTTGGTGGTGTGTATCTCCAATTTGGTAATTTTCCATTTAACCTAAGGAAACAACTAAAAAATCACTTCCCAGTTGGATTGATTCCTTTTGGGGGTAGCTTTAGTGACTTTATCAGGCCATTCATAAATGAACTTAAAATACTCAAAAAGGGTGTCAGAATGGTATCAATGGGGGAGGAAGTATGGATCATTGCTGGGTTAGGTTCAGTGACTGGTGACTTACCTCAGGGAAATGTTCATGCTAGTGTAAAGAGCCATAGCAGTCAGTTTGGTTGTAGAAGTTGTAAAGTACCTTATGAGAGACTTACAGATCACACATTTGACCTGGTGATGAATGCCAGATATCACCACTTAACCACTGAGGAAATTAATCATGTACAGCAGTTGACAGGTAGAGCCCGTTCACAACTTGCCACTGAATATGGTGTATGAGCTTCTCCCAATCCTCTTGATCAGCTCTTACGTGATAGAGTTATCAACACTCCACAAGATGCTTATCATGCTATTGGTGGAAAAATCTTGAAACTCTTAGATGCGACAATGGATCTCCTTTCTGCTGCTGGTGAATGTAACTGGATTATGTATTGGAAGTCTATAGAGAAACCCACCAATTGGTCAAAGCTTCCTAATGCACTGAGCCACAGGCGGAGTTTTATGTTTTCGGATGGACTTCATCTGGCAATGTTTATGCCCTTTATTTTACACCGCTGTTTCACCCCTAATTGTATAAAAAGTTGTGCATTAGAATCACTAAAGAATAAGTTGGAAATCCGCAATGATGAGATTGTGTTGGAAGTGATTTGCTGCTGGGTGATTATAGCCAAGACAGCAAAGCTTTCTTTTTCTACAGTCTTTACTGATCAAACTTATAAGGAACTTGAAGAGTGCCTCTGTCAAGAACAAGATATTTTGACAAGGGTCTTGATACACAATTTTTTTAACTATCATAATATTATTTTATGTGGTTTTCCTCCAATAAGAGATGGGATATTTTGGTCTGTGCAAAGATAGAGTACCCCCCCCCCTTGAACAACATAGTATTAGATAAACTAATCTTATTTCTCACCTTATTAGATATTCCCAGAAGTGTTCGATGCTCTTCCAAATCTTCATGTTAATATTAATATGCATCTATTGATGCATGCTAGAAGTTATGGTACCCTGGTGAATACATCAGTGACAGTGAAGGAAATGGTACACTGTACATTCAAGAGGATGGTTCAGCATACAAATTTGAAGCATATTGACCTTGATCTTCTGCAATGATATAATACACTGCAAGCATTTTGCTACATATTTGATGGTGGTCGAGATAAGTGCTTTGCAGATGTTGGTGATGGCCTCAAAAGTCTTGTTAATGATGAGTTGATATGCCCAATATTAACAGAATGGTACATCACTGAAGACTGTAAACTTCTTCCTGATGCTGATGCGACAGAGACACTGGAAAATGAAGGTAAGAAAACACAATAAAAAAAAAACTCCGTATAAGAGAAAAAGTGGTCATCACAACCATAAACAATTTTCAAATCACTACTTTGGTATTTGCTAAACTCTGAAAAGATTGGATGTGAAAATTTGATTTAAAATATTGATACTGCCTCATACTTGTTCAATAGAATCCAGAATAGTCTCCGGAAACCACTACACAGTGACTCTCTTTATAGTGGACCTCCGCTACAGTGGATTTGGCTTATTGTGGAGGAATGTTAGAAACTTTTT